AACAAACAAAACAATGCGCGATTAATATTAAGTTTAATTCAACTTAAAGTTTGTTAAAACTAAAACGTGCGTATTTTCACTATAACCTGCAATAATGATGTTATTTGGAATAAATAAATAAATTTTATAAATGATACAGAAAAGATAAGCAAATATTTTCTTAACAAAGAACACGTTTTGAATTGTGGAACTGAGACAAACACGCGCGCACCATGAGTTACTACGTGGTTGGCTGGGGGCGAGTGTTTCAGGTCCAAGTGAATCTCACCTGAGACACTGAGCGACGGTGAGGAAGTGGGTGGAAGCGACAACATATCTTCGTGACGGACGCCAAGAGCAGTCACATCTTTGTTGCGTAGTGCCGAGATCATGTGCTCCTGGCAACTACTGATATCTGTTATCGCCCTGTCTCTCCAAGGCCTGAGTGGCAATGCAGGTATGCTTACTCCTGTAAATTCTTTTATATGGATATGAAAGATCTATATAAATTAATAATTTTTACCTATAATGCCATAAGTACGTAGTAGGAGTATGCATGGATACATCCCACAATAAACCTAGAGCTAAGTGCTTAAAGTCTCCGAAAACAAATGTACTAACATAATGAAATTTGTAATAATTAGTTTTCTATATTCGTATCTTGGGTAACGCTTCTCTTTTGTGTCTAATCGTATATTCCTTTTTTTTTCTGGAACAAACTGGCATTTCTTAGAATTTCCAGTTGATAGAAGTTTCTATTGCGGTTTGATATTTTGTATTCAAATTCTACTTAATATAGATTAATAAAAACACCACCCGAAAATCATCGGCGGGCTATCCAATCTAATCATTAAGAAAAAAGAAAGATATTTTTGAAGGAATTTGATTGAGTGTACTTGTGCTACTGATTTGTAACTCAGTCTATTACGTACTAATAAAAATTATTAAATCATCGCCTAATTTAAAAAGCCACAACAGCTTTTGTGTATCGATTTTAAGTCTTCGCATTGTAACTCAAGCATGACGTAGTTTCAGCTATTAAATTTATTTCAAACAAAAAATAAAATAATTAAACATGTTGCTTAGAAAGACCTAGTTTGTATACAAAAATTTTTACATTGCATGCGCAAAATATACTGAATATCATTCACGCTTACATTATGAAATGACACACCATAGTGTTGAGGATTAAGAGTGACCAAAATCCAGCAAATAAAAAAAGGTTTAAAATTCCTTTTTAATAAATTCGTAACTTAAATATCTTAAACGTTAGACATTTTAGCTTGCAGTCAAGTGTTTTTGTTTACTTTCTTGAGCTAAAATTAATTTGCTAAAACTAACTCGATAAAACGTTTAGGTTTTCTTTAAATTGCTTTATTAAACACGCACTAACCTTATCTTAAAACGGACAACTACCACAGTAACCTTATTTAGGAGTTTAATTTCTCAAAAGACACAAGTAAACTATTTTCAGCAAATATTCGATAAAGATAAAGTTATGAGTCATGTAAATTAATTACACTTTTTGATCGATTTCCCGATACGTGTTTCAAACATTAAACTTCTATCTTTGTTAAGTCTCACAGAGGGTTAGTTGTGTTATGCCCACGCGTGTATCGAAACCCGATTTTTAGCGTTATAACCCCACAGACTTACCGCTGAGTCACAAGATGCATTTCAGACAAAAAAAAAAGTGATTAAATAAAAGCTTTTTTAATGAAATTTTAAGAAATTTAGAACTCTGGACGTCTGATAAGAAAGTTGAAGCGTAAGAAAGTAGGCTTTGTTTATAATATATATATATATATATATATATAAATTCTCGTGCATTTTTATTGATCTGTTTAATATTTTTATTTAATAATATTTAAAACATTTCACAGAAAGCTAAAAGATTGATTTGATTATTTTTAATAAGTTTTATTTTCATATCAATAAACATTAGTTTGTATATACATATATATTTCACATCTTTATTTTTTTAGAAAGATTGAACAGAATTTCTGCAGCGCGATCTGGTAGGAAGAAGTTATAATTATTACTATTACTTTGAGCTGTTGGATGGTTTCGTTTCAAAAGAACTGAAGTAGTTTTGTTATTGTTTTATCCATATTAAAGTTTGTTATCGTTGAAAATATGTTGCTGTTTTTTGGTATACTCGCAGCCATAGAGTTTCATTAAAATATTATTACTTGCGATATGTATTGACTTGTGCTACTATTTACTTTTACTTGCAGAACACCCCCCTCAAACACATCTATATATGTGTGTATTTGTCTTTCTGTACTGTCAACTATCACTTACACGTTTTATTTATCAAGATCTCATATACCAGATTCTCTAAAATTAAGTGTTTTATGTTATAATGTCAATTTTTGAATCTCAAACTTGCGATTTCCTTAATGCCATGAAGTATTTTGTGATAAATATTACCTATATTGTGTTCAGCGGACGTCACTTATAACGTACTTTGATTGAGCTTGTCAGGTCTTTTCTTTGAAAACTTTTATTACTTGAAAATTTTATACAATATAAAATAAATCAAAGAATTTTCAATATCTTACCAAATATGCTTAGCACTCAAAGGTTTCGTTTTCACAAATTTCCTTGACGCGCCAGTCGTAGTTACTTTTCACGTTACTAAGATTTCTGTTCGGAGTAAAATATTCCAAATGAAAACTGGGCTGACAAAACATATCATCTTTGACTTTTTACAGCTTTTAAGATAGTAGATTGGTATTACCTGTTGTACATGTACATCAGCGCGAACTTGTGGTATTCTTTTAGGATGACATTGGAAAGTAACTTTTCTTACGGACTTGTTCTCAAAATTTTTTTATGCTACAAGGGTGTTCAACTAATGTTCTTGTACTTATTTTACTAACTGGTAATTACTTCCTTTGAAAGCTCAGTAATGTTTTAGTAACAGTAATGATACATTACTTACTTTTTATTTCTGATATATTAGATTATATATGGTGCTTGAACTCAACACACATACTGAATTCTTTTCTCGCTACTATTTACTGTTAGGCATGTAATTTTTTGTATTTTAGAATAACGAAAAAAATATTGAAGGTCAATTTTGCCTTTGAACTCAATGAAAAATCAATCAGGGCAATAATCAAAATTATCAGCAGAAATCAGAATCATTGTCTTGATTTAATTTTTTATTACATTAAAACGCATATTTTTTTCTATTTCTAGTATTTTTTCTCTTATTTTAATAATTTTTTCAAGGTATTTATTTTTTGTATTTGACCGCATTCACAAACCCATTTTTTATAATTGATTATTCATTAATCGTATTATACTTTTGAAGTAATAACATACTAATTTCTTACATTAAATGTACCCAGGTGGCAGCAGCAAGTTTGTATGCTTACGCTGCTAAAATTCGAGGTGAACAAATAGCTCATTGTGTGGCTTTGCATCATCAACAAACATGCTGTTGTTGATAATGGTCTTTTAACACGAAACCACAAAACGGACTCTCTGCGCTCTGTTTACCGTGGGGAATCAAACCATAGATTTTAACATTGTACGTCCGGAGACTTACTGCTTACTCACTTGGGTAAAACAGCAGACATTACATTAAATATTTGATTACTTCATCTTATACAAATACTTAAAAAACTACATTACTGAAGCAAGAAAATAGTTAATTAATCAGCAACGGCTATTCGTCAAGAACAAAATGTGTTTAAATCTTTAAACTGTTCAACTTTTCACTAGAAAACAGTAACTGCTCACGGCCTATATTACAAATCTCCATTTAACGGTGTTAATATAAATAAATTATATATTTTTAACATAGATATGTTTTATCTAGAATATATATATATATTACAGATAGTTCGGTTTTAATTTGGCAAATTAATTATGTTCTGCTTTAAAAATGAATGTTTTAGCACTCATTAGAAGAATGGTCAAATTTTATGAATATGAATTTTGACTCAACTAAAACTTTTTTTTTCTTTTGACTAGTTTTATTGAGTAGGTGAAACTACAAACTTTTGCATTCATTTCTTATTTATTTTTACATTAAAATAATCAAAAGTTTATTAATTTGTTGAGATAACTGATACTTATGTTGAGAAAGTATGTTTGGAAAAAACATAGATGAAAAAAAACCTTATTTTAAAGAAAATTACATTTCCAATAATCGTAGTGGACATAACTGACTATTAGTTGGAGAAATTATTTTTCTATCAAGATAGTTCAGATAACTTATTATCTAGATACCTGTTTCCAATAATCATGTTTGAGATAAAATAGTATTGTTTATAGAATTATTTCCGATGAATATTTCTGTGTTAACCGAATATTATTTTCAAAAAGTGTACTTGCAATAAACATCATTGAGATAGCTGATTACTGTATAGAAAAGTGTGTTTCAAATAAAGTTAACACAACTGATTCTTACATAGAGAATTGTAATTCCATTTAAACATAATTGTGGTAGCGTACTATTACTTAAAGACGTATTTTCCGATAACAATTTTTGAGGTAAATCAGTATTTTTTCGAGAATTGTTTCCAATATATATTTTAGAGATAGTTGAGTATCATTTTGAAAATGTCTGTTTCCAATAAACGTAAATAAGATAATTTACTATTATTTGGAAAATGTGAGTGTCCAATAAACATAATTGAGATTATTGTTTATTGTCTAAGGAAAGTTATGTTAAAATAAACATTTTTAGTTAATTAATTATTGTTTATAGAAGTGTGTTTCCACTAAACATATTTGGGATAACCGATTAATTTTTATAGAATATATTTTACAGCAGATATAATTGAGATAACTTATAACTTAGAGAAAATGTAGTTTCAAATAAACATAGAAAAGCGATAATTTTTTAAGAACGTATGATTTCAATAAACACAGATGAGCTAACTGCGTATTACTTGGAAAAAGTATGTTTCCAATAAACAGGGTTCAGATAACGGTTATCATTTAGATAAATTATGTTTATAATGAACATAGCTAAGATAACTGTTTATTATTTAGAAGGGATTTTCCAATAAATATAGTTGAGAAAAATAGCTACTATTCAGAAATAAAATAACAATAAGTAATATCAACTATGTTATTCGAAATAGACAGAGAAATTGCGTTTGCAGTAAATACATTTGAGTAAACTCATCTCTACTTTAGGAAGATTGCATTTCCAATAATCAGAGTGGATATAACTTACCGTTAGTGGAAAATAGGTTGTTTTTTTCTCTAACTCAATATAGTTGAAATAAATTATTATTTAGAGAATTGTTACCAATAAACATTTTTGAGATAAGTGATTATTATTTAAAGAAAACTTGATTCCAGTAAACATAGTTGAGATAATTAATTATTGGTTAGATAAGTTTGTTTCGTATAAACATTGATGAGTTAAGTAGATATTATTTATAGAAATTTTTCCAATTAATACTTTCAGATAAGCGACTATTACTTGGG